GTATATTCATTTTAATGGAGACAACAATTCAATCAAAACAAAAAATCGATTGCATAAATTGATTTGCGTGTCAATGAGTGAAATAAGTATTTGATACCCTACAGCCCAAACAGAATTCTGACTCCCACAGATTGGGCAAACAGCCATTTAGTCAGTTACAGATACTTGTGCTCTCACAGAGAGCCCTTTTCCACTAGTAAGTACTTGGGTCAGCTCGGCTCAACTCATTTTTAAGGGCTTTCCATTAGGTGATAGTACCTGGAACCTTTTTAGTACCTACTTGGCTGGGATTCCAAGCAATCTGAGGCAGTCCGACCATGTGACCGCATGCCACTGATTGACGTCACTTGATCAGTCATGAGAGCGTCTCCTTTATGAAAATAAAAACAGCCATTTTTGAAACCCGGCAGCAAGGGAAATTGCTACAAATAAAACAACACCATGGTCCCTACATACACCAAGCAGCAGGTATGCCATCTCCATCGTTGTGGTGTTTGTGTTGCATACAAATGACGTCATAGGACTTTTCGCTACGTTGCTATAATGACCCCATGCACATTTAAGTGGTGCACCGTTGAAATGGAAAACATCTTGAGTCAAGTAAGTACTAGTGGAAAAGGGCTAAGAAATGTCTTCCATTACAACCTTTCCACCACCAAGACCAAAGGGCTGTCAGAGGATGTCACTGACAAGACTGTAGACCTGCACAAGGCTGGAAAGACCATCAACATGTACAGGCCTATCTTAAATTTGCCAGTGAACCTCTAAGTGTCTAAGAGAAGGCGAGACGAGAACCTCTTTCTCTCAACCAGAACACTGAAGATGGGTAGTGGATGGGTCTTCCTGCATTACAGTAATCCAAAACACATTGCCAACAGACAAAGAAGTGGCTAAAGAATCATATTAAGGTCATGGAGTGGCCTAGCCAGTCTCTAGTGCTAAATCCTATAGTAAATCGGTGGGAGCTCAAGCTTTGAGTTGCCAACCGGCAGCCAAGAAGCCTAAAGGATTCAGACAGCTTCTATAGAGAGGAGTAGGCCAAAATCACTCCTGAGATGTGTGCAAACCTGGTGACCAACTACAAGAGGCTGCAACAGGGGTTGTAAGATGCTTTGTTTGGGGATTCAGTGTTATTTTACTCAATGATATCCAAATCAGTTTATAACTTATATGTAATGTGGTTTTTATGGATTTGTGGTTGATATTCTTTCCCTCCATTAAAATGACAGTACTACAAACATGACACATTGTTCATTTCCTTGTAAGTGAGCCAACTTACTTGATCTGCTGCTGAATTTGTAATTATTTTCCCCACGCTAAGCTGTTGCCATTGTCATTAGCCTTGCAGTATATACATTCCTTTAATTCTTTTAGTTGTTTCATTGTTGCGAAGGGAAAATTTATATTTAGTCACAGATTTTAACAAGTCCTTCAAAATATAATCAGCAGCTTCCCAGTGCACTGAGAAGATTTGGACCTCCGAATTTGAAGATGATGTTTGTTTGTGGCCAGTGCTGGAGAAACGGCCAACTAAGTGAAGCTGACAAAAACAAGAAGTATTGCACAGCCAAGGCAAGACACACGTAAGTATTTGGATGTCTTTGTGTATGTGGGGGACTACAATCCATTATGTCATTATTGAGTCACGCTGTCTTTCTGTCGCAGGTGGGCAAAAGACAGGCGGGTGGTGCTTGTAAGTTCCCATGAAAGGAAAAAGTGGACAACTGTAAGACCGCTTCCAACCAAAAAACCCATTCCATCTCAATTTGAGGTATGTTTCCAGCACCGTCTTCCCATCTTATATTTGCCAGACATATAATATATTCAGATTTCGAATAATGGAGACCAAATGTTTTCTGGTCTCTGTTTAGATTTGCATGCATGTGACAGCTGGCAAGAAGTGTCAGTACATTGGGAACTGCACATTTGCTCACAGTGTGGAAGAAAGAGACCTTTGGACCTACATGAAGGAAAACAACAGTGAGTTTTGTTGAAGCGATTGGCTCTCTTAATGTGTAAAATTTAATTGGTGAATGTGATGTGGCAAACACATTATATCCCCTCATTTAGTTGGAGATATGGATCAACTTTATGAGCAATGGCTGCAGTCTCAAAGGCCTGGCTGGGGTGATGAAACTTCCACTAACTCAGTCAGAGAAAATGGGAAACAGATCCACATGCCAACTGACTACGCAGAGGAAGTGGTGAGTTGATAAGTTAGTGGATATGAAATGTAGCTCAGTGGCATCTAGTTAATATTGTGCTCAGGGATGTTTGCAGCTAGACTATTAAATTGTGGTTCTTTCCCTAATTTGCAAGTAAACTACACTACCTGGTAGTTTAATCATTCCTATTTCATTAATGTATAACAACACGGTATTTGTGTGGATGCTCTTTCACCTTGTTTTTTAGATTGTCCCTAATTATTCCTGTTTCCTGGTGAGTTCTGCCTTTTAGATAAGTTGGCAGTTTTTAATCGACTAGTACACTAAAGTGTACTTGGACTGAGTGATGCATACATGCCAGAATACATTTGAACGCTGTGCATTATGTCCTGGCTCGCTTTTCGTTTTGGGCCCAGGTGTGGTGTGATAGGTAGTATGAAGGTTAACCAAGCCCAAGCGTGGACCAAAAATTGCCCAAATTAAGCCAAAGAGTGCATAAAGTTATGAATCTCATTGTGTTCATTCATACTTGGAAGGGGTGTCTGAAAGAGAGAGTGAATGGGCGATCGAAATGGGAGCTGAAATAGTAAGAATTATACTTGGGCATAGATCCTTAAACAGAATGTGAGTTTGGGGTAGAATTGAGAGGAATAGCTATGTGGGGACTGGAGTACAAGCCTGTGCTTACTTTAAGTACACTCTTTTGCCTGGATTATATTTCCTGCGTCCGTGTGATCGCTAAAGTCTGTGTGATATAAATTAGTCATCAGACTAGACTGAGTTATGAGGATGTGGATGTCTGTATTTTTTTTGTGGCTGTGTGGATTCGTATATAAAGAATTTGCATTATAATGCACTAGCTACACATGCGCCCCAGGCAGCATACTTCAGAATTATAAGCGGAAAGTCTATTTGTGTCCTATTCAGTAGAATGTAATTGAGGCTTTGTTCAGTGGCAACATCCGTAATTATGCATCCTGAATTATGAATGTTTTATTTAATTTTTTTTTAACTGGAAGCAAAGCCAGTGCTGAATTTCGTTAAATGTGCCTTTTTATTTATTGGCCATGAGGTCAAAGGTCAAATCCTGTATAAGTCTATGGAAAACTATCCTTCAAGCTGACCTCTGTAAAAGGCGTTCTTGTCGAGTTCAACAAGCTCTGTCACTTGTTAAGTTTTATTGTATAGAACATTAAGTTCTTTTTGGAAATGTTGGTTATTCTAAGCATTGTGGCAATTATCCAGGGTTTCTGCTTGAATAGGTGTTAGCCAATTAGCATATGGTTTTACAATCCTATTCGGACGGCACTCGTCGCATCCAGCTTTAATTGAACAAGATGGCCAGTGTGAAAGTTTTATGTAACAGGGCTTCGCCAAATAGTGGGTGATACCATGATTGCTAAATCCATCATTTATCCTGTCTTTCATGAAAGTGTTTTCATTAATTAAATGGAATTGTTTCTGCAGGCTGGCAATCATTGTTGGCTCTGTGGTAAAAACTGCAACAGTGAGAAGCAGTGGCAGCAGCATATCACTTCAGAAAAACACAAAGAACGAGTTTTCAACTCTGAGGATGATCAGAATTGCTGGCAGTATCGATTTCCCACAGGCACTTTCAAAGTTTGTGAGAGGTAAGTTTATCAGAAACAACGCGTACTATGTGTCTTGTTACGAGTCTGATTGTTTTCGATGGTTGACATTTGCTGTCACTTTTTGGCAGGTTCCTCAAAGGCACGTGCACAGAGGATGACTTGTGTAAGCTGGCTCACGGGGAGCAGGAACTAAAAGAATGGAGGGAGCGCAGGGAATTCCTTTTGATGAAACTTGCCAAAGCCACAAAAGACCATCTTATAGCACCAAATGACAATGACTTTGGAAAATACAGTTTTCTGCTTAAAGACATTAAATAATGACGTGATCACAATATTCATGCAGACTTGCAAATGATGCAGTATTCAGTCTCGAATCAGGTCATCTTTGAGGGCCTCTGACGTGCACAGGAAATAGCCTGATCACAGCATGATTTTAAAGGAGGGCATACAGGACAGGCCCCCTGAATGATGGCTGTTTGCTCTGATCAGAATTACAGGAGTGTTATCATTAAAAGCAAATACTGAGTGTTAAAACACTTTCCAGAAGCTTTGCAGTGCACCATTCTGTCATACCTGAAAATGGTGGGGAGGGAGGAAGCATGAGTAAACCTTGATCAGAGTCATGTTCAGATTCTTACAGTTGACCTAAACAAAATTTATTTTTTCCCACAAATAGTTTGTATATGTTAATGACCTTTTACTGTTTTAAGTATCAATTACTTAAATAAAGAGTTGAGTTGACATTCTTTTATTTTAATCAGTAAGCATAGGTCATCTTCACTTTCCATTTATCTAATAGTGTTACCAATGTAATGGGCACCACACCAAATAAAGCTCCTTTTTTAATCTGTTTTGAAATGGCTTTTATTTAAGCATACACATGCCCAATTCCAGTAACTAAATACAGAAAAGGTGTCCATCTCACTGTAATCATTATGAAAGCAGTTTCATACATTGTTGGTTGATGTATTGTCTTATAATGGTCCATATATTACAAGCCTGTATGTTACAGGTAACATTGTTAGAGTTGAACTAAAATCATTTACATTAAACAAGTTCAGAGCAATCCTCAGTGATGGCTTTATACACAATGGGGAGTTTTGAACTCTCATGTCAATACTGATGCAGTGTTTTAATAAAGACCTGATGTATTATTGAAAAGTTATTTGACCATGTTTACTTAACAATGGTATTCTGACAAAGAGTCAAAACCTCAAAACAGTACTAGTACAATGAAGATAGTTTTGTTTTTGTTTTTTTGGTCAAGGTTAGGTTATCCATCTAACAGCTCCAGTGACAACTTTGGATTAGGAGCCACACACACCAGTTTTCTTAATCACTTGACCTCCATCAAACAAGTCCAGCAGAAAGGAAAGTCATCTTTTAAGTCTGCTGGCGTAACATTTGACACTTCAGTAGTATGTAGCAAGCTACAGGAGGAGGAGCACTTCAGCCCAGCATTCAAGCCAGCACCTGCTGCAGGTCATCCACCTCAAGCTTCCACATCCGTCTGTGAAGTGCAGCAAGCTCCGAGAGGTCTGCCATCTTCACTGCACGGATGACTGGTTCTGGTGAGATCGCCTGAATGATGCCCATCACCATGACATATTTCCCTGTAAGAACAGCAGCAAGTGGTGAACTGTTGACCGACAGTGATCTCAACGGTAAATCGTGGTTGGAGAGATAAATCTGCCAGCTTGCTGCCACAGATTTTAGGATTAATGCTCTCCTTTCAGCCTAACAAGCTGTGCACTGATGAAAATATTCACATTAACCAGGATTCTCATGAATTCAATAACAGGCCACTAATATCTAGAGTGAAAATGATCTCATTTAAAAATTGTTGTTCAACTACAGCTTTTGAACTTGCAGTGTGTTAAAACCTTATTAGAATTTTAAAATACAGGTCTGAGTTCATTAACAATAGTAGTTCTACTTTATTTGTAATTAAAAAGAGTCTATCCTGTTGATTTTTTTTCTTCTATTAAGATACTTCTTAATAACTCCTAGAATGTAATGTCATTTTGTGTTTGATTCTGTCACTAGATAAAAATGCAGTAAATGGGGACAAAGCTATATTTTTCTCTTTAACCAAACAGAATATACGTCCCCTTTCTAATTGGTCCCAATAATGACTAAGCAACAAAAGCAGTTTCTTTTCACTTACCGGTATATATGCCTAATAGCCATTCATTGTTCTCGGGGGGGGAGGTAATTTAATTTTAGCTTCTGTGTGGATTGAAACAGAATCTAGCTTTGGTCTGGATCAGTTACCTTGGGACAAGCACGGTTTCCCTTTGGGGATGTTGTTAACACCCTGAACAATGAAAGTCCCCGTCTCATCCATCAACAGCACGGTGTCTCTGTCCTGCTGGACTTCCAGCACAGTCCCCTGCATCCACACCAGCGAGACAGGCAAAGAGCGTCCCCTGCCCAGTCTAATTACACAGCCGGCCGCGCTATCAGCGGTGCCCCAGTTCCCTGCCGCCCTCAGCTGTCCCGACAGCACTTTAACAGGCGGGGGACGTGTCTTTTCCACGTCTGTCTTCTCTACTTTGGACATCACTGACAGACTGCTGCTGGCGTCAAGCGACGGACAACTTGCGACAGCGTTTTCATTTCCCGCCTCCCCACGAGCGGAAGTCGTGGCAGCACTCTTTTCCGGCAATAAAACACGTCCTCGCCTGATTCCTTCAGAGTAAAAGCATCAAAACTGAACTTCAATCACAGGCAGGTGAATAGGAGGCAGCATATGATAGAGGGGAAATTCACAGATAAAACACATTTAATTAGTGTAACTGTCATTTCCGTATTGTTTGTAAGCATCACAGAGGGGATCTCTGGGCATCAGGTCCATTTGTGAATGTTACAAAGTTTTAGTCTGCTGTGATAAAGAGCGAAAACCTTGTATAGAAATCAGCCTGACAAACTGTGATAATGAATGAAATGTACAGTAGTGTATGTTTACAATCCGACAATCCTGAAGCTATATTAAAAAAAAAAACATGTTTTTTAAAATGGACAAAATAGAAAGTGTCTCCATTGATATTTTTGTTTTTCTTTTAAATACTGATAGCCATTTATGCAAGATTGCTGCAAAATATGGCTTTAAAACAATTTGTTAAACTGAATTTGTGTTTGATTTCTTCAGTTTATGCATCTTCGTTATAATGGTTGTGATACTTTAATCAAAAATAATAAAGAAGGGAAACCAAGAAAAAAACATGTACATCTGAGTCCAAGGAGTAGCTCATTTTGTTATTTAAATCTGATGCATACTCCATGGATGCATAGGAATAGCTCTGACTGCAGCATAATATTCACTAAAGCCACATGGGAGGGGGGTCTCAACAATTGTTTTAGTTGCATATTATAGGGGTGAGTGATGCTGATTAATATTACTGTGAAAAACACTGCTTGAATAAACAAAATGAAAAACCACAAATTAATACTAATTAAACATACCAACAACTGCTGTTGTTCAGCTCCTAAAAATACAGAGCTGTTTATTAATCTGCCAAAAAGTGTTGAAGACTAATGAACACTACATAATGCCACTCTGGACATGACAATAATCATGACAAATGAGTTTATTACTAGAATTTATGCAACTCACCTCCGCTATGACAAGACTAATAAGTCATTTTGAGAAAGTTGCATAATGTGGTTTATAGATTCAGCTTCACTTCCACCCCTCATCGTGTAACTTTTCCTTGAAAATTAAGGGTTAGGAAGTCTGAACATTTCAAGTCCATAATAAAACTTTTTGTTGGCTGTTTAATACAAGGCAAGCACTTCACATCACTGCAGGGCTAATAACAGAGCAAAATCCTGGAGGAAAACATGCTGCGGTCTGCAAGAAAGCTGCTACTCTGGAGATTTATTTGTCTGCAAGACAATGACCCACAACAAGAAAGCCAAAACTGCACAGGATTGACTTTAAAGGTTCTGCAGTGGCATATTCCAGACCTCAATCTAATTCACAATTTGTGGCAGGACATGAAAATTGCTGCTTGTTCACAGCCTCTATTCCACTAGACAGCACGAGCAGTTTTTTGCCAAGAGAATTGGAAAGAACTGCATCTGTTCTTAAGTGTAAAACTTGGAAAAATAAAATAATGCAGACGAAGTTTGCGTGGATTTAATACTGAACGGAGAAGACAGACAGCAATGATCTGGCACATTCAATTCATTAAATATTTTTTTTTATTTCTTTAAGAATAACTGAAGAAAAGTGTTAGCAATTTCTGTACATTTTTTTTTGTAATTGTTTTCCCTTGGATTTGCTGAAAACCTTGAATGATCAACAGGGCTGAGAAATGTTATGCTGCCACATAGTGCACTTTAAACCTAAAAAGAATATGATTAGTCCACAGGCATCCGTCAGTGTCCTTGGAATACACTCCAAGAGGTTCCTTAAACTGCTGACACTGCTGACTCCAGTTTCATGTTATCATCTCCTCTCAATCCCAGTTCATCATTGTCAAAAAAGAGGCACATTAGAAATACTGCCATTTTCCAAGGACTGTGTCTTTGATTGCATCGACAAACTGTGCAGGCACCCAGTAGACCCAATACTGCGAAGCTTCCGTTGGACCCAGCTGAAAAGCCTGCAAAGGTGGAAGACAAACTGGTAAGTACATTAAGTGGTTTCAGAGGCATTTGCAAATGTAAACATGTATTGAGAATAAATAAACACATTGTGTCTTGTATAGATTTTAAAAGCAAATTTAATTTATAGAAAAAAGAACTTATTTTTGCAATAAATAAAATTCAACCACTTGCATTATGATCAGATGTTAAGACACAAAAATCTGGACTTCAGGAAGCCTTAAATGTCTACTGTCATACATACTCACTGGATACTTTATCAGGCATACTTATTCTAATGCAACTCAATGCATTTAAGCACATAAACATGGCCAAGACTAACACCAGAAGTTCAAACCGAGCACCAGAATGGGGAATAAAGGTGATTTAAGAGACTGTGAACGTGGCATGAATTTTGGAGTGATGCTGTCAATTGAATATGACATGGACCAAAATCTCCAAGGAATGTTTCCAGTACTTTTTTGAATCTGCACCACTAAGGTAGCTCTAAAGGAAAAATGAGGTACAACCCAGTACTAACATGTTGAGTGTGCACAGTGCCTCTTAGAAGCCCTTTCAACACAAAGAGAGTCATTTATTATAATCCACTAAAATGTTATTTTGCAATATAATATGATATAGTATGCTTAATGTAAAAACAGCCACTGTACTGAATCTTTCTGTTATTTTAAAGTAAACAACCTGGCTAACCAAATCCAATGTTTGGCTTTTATCTTTCTTCTATCTTAAATCATTCCCATCTCCTCGTCTATCTGCTTTGAATATGTTTTCAATTGTTGAGTGATGCAAAAAAACACTCGGAGGAAGCTGCAGGCATCACTTTTCATTTTTGAGCCAAAAACATGACAACACAAAGCATTGTTTTGACTCCACTATCATACATTTGAATATCTCTGCTCTACAGTGTAACATTATCTGCATTTAGATCTGTTACACTGAGGGTGATATCTGATGAGGTGGTAATAAAGCTCAATACCAGGGAAGTCCCTCAAAGCCCCACTTATATGTGCTCAGACATTATACTATTTGATTGGATGCACTCATGTGAAGCTGCTATGAAATTCAAACAAAATTACACAGAGACATACTTTGGTCTCAAAGTCTTTTTTCGTGTATTGATCACTTCTATACACACACAAAGTATCTGCTTGTCCTGATGTTGTTAGCCATTTCTGGGTACAAAGACTCCAGAACAGCAAGATACTCCTGAGAGTGAAAAATACTTCAGATTTGTTAATCTCCAATAAAATAATCAATGTTGCTGTTTGACTAGGTATTACAATAAAAAGCAACAATAAAAAGCAATAACTGGATGAAGAAGGAGACTTGCAGCAATACAATTAGCAATACTGTTAGTTAGCTAAAGATGATATACCGGTACCATGTCCTGACGAACATTTTATATAAAAAAACAAACAATCAAGAAACAACTGTAGCTAGCCAGAGATCTATTGTCAGGCTATTATGGACATTGGACAGGAAAGATGTAGGATGACAGGATGAGTATTAAACTGTCTGAGGGTCCTCCATCTTCCAATGGTTATCCCAGTCTAAATAGAGACCTCCCTCTCGCCAATACCTCCCCCAGCTCTTCCCCTGGCCACAATGAGGTGTTCCCAAGCCTCCAGAAGACATAATCTCTCCTGAATGTCCTGAATCTACATTGGGGCTTCCTCCCAGTGGAAAATGTCCAAAGCACCTCTCCTTTGAGGTGCCCAGGAGGCATTCAACCCAAATGACCAACTGTATCCTTTTGATATGAAGTGGCTCTACACTGTGACCAAGCTCCTCGCCCTATTTCTACCACTTGCATCAACAATCTTATTCTTTCAGTCACTACCCAGGGCTCACAGGTCATAGGTGAGGGTAGGAACGTAGACCGACTGGTAAATAGACAGCTTTGCTTTCACACTGAGTTCTTTCTTCACCACAACAGACCAGTACAGCACCCACATCACTGCTGCCACCACACTCTGTTAATCTCCCACTCCTTTTCTCCGTCACGTGTGAACACAGCTGAGACATGTGTTGAGGGTCCTGTAAGTGACCCTTTTGGGGTTTTTGTATCTATTCGCAAATCAAAAGAACAAGAGACAAAACGCTACAGCACTTTAAAAAGACAAGAACCCTAACCCTAGCTAGGAACAAGTGTCATTACATCACTACTTAAAAAAATGGATAGTATACCAACCAAAGAAACTTTTTTAACTGAAAACCTTCTATTACAGTGACTCCATCGTTGAGGCACACATAGTTCAGTCACTTTAGTGAACAGCCACACCAGCTTTTTACCACACAAAAGATAGTTACCATCATGTGATAGTCCTCATGGCCTTCAATGGGTTCAGACACTATGTTTTTAATGGAGCCCATTGGGACTTTCTCCGTCCTCTCTGCAGATGAGAAATTTAAATTATCAGCATCTTTATGGTGCAGTGCAGCTAGCAAAAGTAGGTTAGCTATAATCTTACCTTTTGTTCCAATCCACAACTGATCTTGCTCCAGCTTGAATGTGAGTCTAACTTTTCCTCCGGATTTGTTATACATTCCGGATAAAGGCACTGTTGGTAATCGTTCCTGTTAAGCGGCACAAGACAGCTGTCAGTTGTGTTTAGTTGTGTATATTCAAACACACTGTATCACTGTAAAAGCACCTTTATCTACAGCTAATAACAGGTTAATTTTCCTCTTACCTTTGTTCCTTTAATAGCTGGCATGATGTCATCAGGTTTACCTTTGTCCAAAACTTTCCTATGTTGCTGAGATAATAGTGCAGATTTAAAATGACAAATAAAAACAACAAAAAAACTCTTTCTACAATAAGGCGACAAATCAAACCTTTTGCCTGCATAAAGGCTCCTTCTTGTTTTCTTCAGCTTTAACTTCCTGCTGGATGACTTCTTTGGGTGTATTTACAGCTAATACATCATTTATTGTAGATCCTACTACCATTATTTTTGCACCATTTGTAATCTTTATTTCACGTAGCGTCTTGTCCTCTGGAAGCAATCCTTTATACATCACTTTTTGCATTGCCGGTGGAAGACCTAAAATAAAAAGAAAAGAAAGAACTATCTTTGAGTTCTTATTGTTTATGCGTTGCTAAACAACACTCATTGTAACAATTAATTTAAAAGAAGAAATGTATGCTGTTGGCTCTCACCAGTGAGTGAGTGAATGCTCTCTTTTAGTTTGGCTCCGGTGCTATCAACAGGAATTTTCAGATCATATTTATTTTTGTTCCAAATGATCTTCAAGTCCACTGTTTCCTTGTCCTCTGTATCATCCCCATTGCTAATATTAGAGTCCTGAGTTGTGGAGTTTCCTGCATCTGTGTGAGACGTCGCTTCTGCACCACCTTTTTCAACATCTTCACCTAGTGATTCAGCTTCTTTTGGTTTTGCCTCAGTTTCCATTATGACTTCTTCACTTCCTGGAAAAGAATGAAATCTTAGACTTATGTTCCTTTAAAGTAACCCTTCCAAGTTTAAATTATTATATCTCAAATTTTTCATATAAGACTGCCTATGCATTATGATACTGCCTATAGAGATGTGGTCAAAGGTCTCCATACACTCACATGTGGTGGTAATTTGGGGATTTTAATGATTTCTTTGAAAATTTATTTTTCCAAGATTGAATGATAGTACAATATACATATTTAATGGCAATAACAAAATAATAATTGGGTGCTAGACCATCTTAATCAATTTCCAGTTTGTTTCTTCTTCCAGCCCTCAGCAAAGTAATGACACATCTGACTAACTTGTCATAATGTACAATTGTTTGAACTAATGATGTTCAAATCTGCAGTTGTTTAGAAATGGCTCCAAGAGACCTTTACAACTTGTGTACATCTACAATTCTTCTTAGATCTTCCCTGAGTTCCTTGGACTTTCCAATTGTTCTGGTTATTGGTCACTCAAATGAGTGCTGTCAGGCAAATCTTTTTATGCTAGCGAAGGGAAACTCCCAGTTATAGTTAATCACATTCACCATAATCACCAAAGAGATGTTAAAAGACACACATAACAGAATCTGATTACAGGAAGGTTGTCAGTGCCAACAACAGCACTGCAGAAAACAATGTATCACAATAACAACCACAAAGTTTTCTAAAGAGAGAAAGAAATGTGTTGTCTCAGCCTATCAGATGATTACACTTGTCTCTCTTTTACAACAAAGAAACTTTTTGCATTAAAAATAACAACCACCAAAATGTTGATATTCCTATTATATTCACTCTACCGTGACATTTGTTACAAATGTCTTTCTTTCAGGGAACTTTTTTATTACAAGTGTTTCTTGTGTTTTATGCTGGAGGTTGACCACCTTGCCTTAAATGACAACCACCTGCACTGTCACAGTCTCCTATGAATTAGATTAGTATTAGGGCAGACATACATATATAATATCAGATTTTTACAGAAAGATTAACATAGTGATGATATCTTAGTTGTCAGAAATTGTGGCTATTGTTCTCATTGTTAGTGGGGGGGAACCATCATCCTCCCAGCCTTGTTACCGTAAATTAATAAGACATGAAATGCTAGTATCTGCAGTAAATGAGTTTAACCCAGTCATTGCATAACAAAATGATAACGGCAATCTATGAGCAGACCAGCAGATAAATAGAACTATCTCAACTAGCTGTATGTCGACCGCTAATCCCAGCACAAGAACAATTAAAGAATGATAACAGCCTCAAATCATGATATTTTTTTCACAAAACGTCCACCGAAATATCAATATCTGTTTCAAAGCTTGAATCCAGTTTTGTCCGAACTCAAAGCCTCATGTCAACCTACTGCCTTTGGATGACATGTCAGTTTCTTTGCAAACTGCAGCAAAGTTTACAACAGACTTTTTTGCTGTTGGTTATAACAAAATGCAGCCATAACATCTTTAACACAATGTCAATTAGTCTGGAAGTGACTCAGATTAAACGTAAACAGAGCTGTGACGCTGAACTTAAGTTTTTTTTCACAGCTCTTTCCACTGAAGGACTTGTTTTGAAAGACTGTTGGTAAGCATATCAAGCAAAAATGACTGGCTGACAAAGAGGCTACAGTCCTAAAAATTCCAGGAGTAAAGTGCCAATTGAGTTGTTTATTATGTATTTTGACTTTCTGGGATAAATGTGGCGCTTCCCACAGAATCAGACTGTATCTGCTGCGGCAGAACACATATATGTATACTTAAGCGAAAGGTAGCAATGCTTTCTTTCCATGGAAGACTCAAACTACATACAATTGTGCAGGTTGTATTTAACACAAATAATTTACCAAAATTGTTGTGAAATAGCTGAGTGACTAAGTGTCAAAACTCTGCTTCTCATTAAAAAGTAACAATAAAACTAAATGAGGCTGAACCTAGACGGCTTACTCACAATGGCTTAAAACGAAACAAAATAAAACGGGGAAACCCAGCTCACCTTTATCACTTACAAAATACATTCCTGTGAACTATATTTAGCTACCTATCATATCTATGTCTACTTTGCAACTTTACATAAGACTTTTGTTTTGTTTACCTTGATATAATACAAAACATCGACGTGTTTGGAAGCGTTTAAATCAATAAACTAGAAGTTGACTTAATACTTAATTCTTATTATATATA